TGATCTGTCTTAGTATCTTGAAAGGGCCAACATACCTGGGACTGAGCTTCCTGCTTGGTAGCCGCAACTTGAGGTCCTTCGTGGAGAGCCAGACCCGTTGTCCTGGTTGATAGGGAGGGTGTGGGCGACGTCGTCTATTAGCTTGGAATTCTTGTGTTCTCACAGCTCGCTGGAGATGGACATGAGCACTGTCCCACACCCTCTCACTACGTTGTATCCAGTCGTCCACTGCAGGAACCGAGGAGGGTTCGCCAGACCACGGGAACAGAGGCGGTTGGAATCCTAGGACGCACTGGAAAGGGGTTAGACCTGTAGAGGAGACTTGATACATAAATGGCTAGATTCACATTGATTATACTTGATTAATTCATATTTTGACCAATAAAAATCTTCTACATTCCCCTCTTTGAGACTTCATCAATTGTCATTACCCAGAGTGCAGCTTCATAATTCAGTCTCATCAGTTATCACTACCTAGTGACTAAATTAAGTCGCACAGTTTTATCACCAATGACTAGATTATGTAACAGCACTTTGGTGGAGTATCAGGACCAAACCTCTCCCCCCACACCTGACTAGGAGGGAGTAAAAGGTCCCGTCTCCCTAATCCCTCATTCAGATAAAACAATGTTATATGCATGAGCATGCAATTGGTTCAGCGCTTTCCTGTGGTTGTCACAGTTATGTAGTATACAACAGAAATAAAATTCAAAACATAAAACATGTAACATCACAAAAAATAGCATAGTTGATCTTCAGCCCAGACACTTTGCATTGTAGAGGGCCATTTTGGTTACCCTCAAAAATCAATTTCCCATCATCTTGACATCTTAGAATTTCCATTTGCTTAGCTGTGGCTTTGATAACTAGTGACCTCAATATAGGAAGTACACAGTAAAATAGTAATCTTCCTATCAATACTACAAGTCCTAAAAACATTCCCAATTTAGTTAACTATGTTCCAATGCTCCTAACTTTAGATCAAACCAATCTCACATTTGATTATCTTTTCCAGCATTTGCTTTATCTTCCATTCTTAGGTTTTTTAATTTGATCATTACTTCACTAAATGCTCCTTCTGAAGCAGTATTATTTGGTATATACGTACAGCATTGTTCCCCAAACATAACACATACTTTTCCTTTTTCAGTTAACAAATAATATAAAGCTATTCTATTTTGCTATGTCATTCTGCTTGTTGCATCCAATTGCTCTCCAAGAAGCGATAAGGCCTCATCAGTGTAATTAATAAATATTTGCTGATTGTAATATATGTAATTGATCCATTCTGTATTTTTATTTTGTGTAATCCAAATGAATATTGATTCAATCCCTGATTTGATTTCATCTCTTGCTTTAAACTCATAAGGTATACCTCTTGGTTGACCAACTGAATCTATATAAACTGCAGGGTCTTTTTCATAGGCTCTTCTGGATCTGGCTTTCTTTTCATTTGTTGCTTCCTCTTCTAGAGAGATGTGACTCATTTTATGTGTAAGCATAATTCTAGTAAATAATCCTGACCATTTTTCTGGTAATGTTGTCAAGAGGCCATATTCTAATCCACACATCCACCATATGTCTGCCAATGCAATATCAATGTCATCAAATATAGGTGGTAACTCCTAAAAACATTCCTAATTTAGCTAACCATGCTCCCCATGCTCCTAACTTTAAATCAAACCAGTCCCACATTTGATTATCTTTTCCAGCGTTTTCTTTAAGTTCAATCCTTAGGTTTTGCAATTTGGTCATTACTTCAGTAAATGCTCCTTCAGGAGCAGTATTATTTGCTATGTATGTACAGCATTGATCCCCAAACATAACACATACTTTTCCTTTTTCAGTTAACAAATAATATAAAGCTATTCTTTTTTGCTATATCATTCTGCTTGTTGCATCCAATTGCTCTCCTAGAAGTGTTAAGGCCTCATCAGTGTAATTAATAAATCTTTGCTGATTGTACTTTATGTAATAAATCCATTTTGTAATTTTATATTTTCTTTTTGTAATTCAAATTAATATTGATTTCAACTTTAATTTAACTTCATCTTTTGTATTAAATGCGTTAGGTATGCCTTTAGGTTGACTGATTGGATTTATATAATCTGTAGGGTCTTTTTCATCTGCTCTTTTGGTTCAAGTTTTTTCTTTATTTGTTGTGTCCTCTACTAGAGAGATATGACTCATTTTATGTGTCAGCATAACCCTAGAACATAATCCTGACCAATTTTCTGGTAATGTTGGCAAGCTGCCATACTCTAATCCACACATCCACCATATGTCTGCCAATGCAATATCGATGTCATCAAATATAGGTGGTGGGCCTTCTTTTATCACTAAATAGTCATCTTTACATCGTGGTATTTTCAATATTTTGCTGCATTTGCTTTAATTTTCCTATGTCAATAGTTCCCTTCTTTTTATAGCATTCAAATACTTGATCTGCCATTACTGGTATTTTTTCTTGTGGCTTTTGTATTTATTTATTTATTTATTTTTCTTTCCATACTCTTGGCCATTTACGGGTTCGTATGCACTGTAATTCAGTTGCTTCTCTGTAGTTTTTTGTAGATTGGAGACACTGGCACCAGTATGGGCAAAATGCCATTTTCTTTTTTTTTTTGGGTACAGTTTCTAAAGGTATTTATTTCTCTACCTCTTTCTATTACGCATTTACCTCCCAGTTTTATTACATCTAATCCCATTTCACTAGATAGTCCTGGATATTTATTTAATCATTGCAAAAGTAACTTTAGTTTAGGCCTATTTAAAATGAGACACATCTGTTTATTGTTTTTACAATTATTTCACAATTATTTTAATCTCCAAACTGTTTTAGATAGTTCTGCTTCGCTTTTTATGCTTTGCTAAATAAAAAAAAAGTGTTAGGTTGTGCTCTGCTTTCCCATACACACAAAGACAGATCATGAGAGCATTTTCTGCGCTAAACCCCGTGATGAGTTTAACAACACTTGCAGCGCGGATTACAGTTCATATCTGCACCGGAGTGAGCTAGAGTTTTTATGGACATTTCATAAACTCATTAACATCTGTAAATGAAAAAAATTAGCAGCGTGGATTACAGTTCATATCTACACCGGAGTGAGCTCGAGTTTTTATGGACATATTTCATAGACTCATTAACATATGTAAATTAAAACATAAATATTATTAATGAATAATACTATAAATAATATTATAAAATAAAATGGTTATTTTTCTTAAATACTTAATTTCTGGCATATTAAACTTTTTATTAAGTTTAAGCTTACAGTAATGTCTCCAATGTCTTTTATCTCCAATATTTTGTTGGGTCTTGAAATATTATACTTGTTTAGGTGGGTCGTGGAATGGAAAAGTTTGAGAACCCTTGTCTTAAACCATTCATCATGAAATATTCTACAACTTGAACTATGTATGAGTGTTGGTATAATATATAAGACTGGTCTTGCTTCAAAGCAAACTATGCAGTTTTCCCACTTTTCTTTTTCTGCTGTGTAATTTACCCATTTATATCAATTATTTTCTTCTACCTTTTCCCATAAACATTTGAATTGCTAATTTTCTTATAACTGATATTATGATTAATATCTACAATGTGTCTATTTTATCTAGATATTTTTTTCTTCTCGTCCAATTCTTATTCATTTTGGATTAAGTAAAAGATACTGCCAGATTCAGATGAGGGTTGAAAAGTCAATTCTATTTATTATGCCTAGACTATATGGTAATATTATTTGTGGTTGATAGTGGTGACAGTGGTGATACTCATGAAGTATGCATACTATACTAACAATTGTTTATAAAATTATTTTAGGACTGAATACACCACTCTTGTCTTAGAAAATTTAAATCAATATAGTGTTTTCTGTAAATGAGTTGAGTAAGGTGATTTTCACATAATTTTGAAGCAAAAACTCTAGACTTCAAGATCCAGTTCTCAAAAGTCTTGTGAGCAAATGTTCTGTATGCGTTTTATGAACAGGCCACTATTGAACAGTAGTGACAGTTCAACCCCGTGCATGCCAGAGGACGTGCCTGAATTCAAGGGGGGAAAGTGTAACCCAAGTTACTAATGGGTAGTAGTAGACACAGAATAATTGAGCAAATAATAACATCTAAAGGATGAAAAGTGCAGCCAGGAAAAAATATATATACCTGTGATTAATAAATTATTTAAAAATATAAATATATATAAATGTAAAATATTGAGGATTATGATCGCATCTAATGAAATCGCGTTTTGAATGACGTCATTACGTCTTCCGCTATCCCGACATTTTTACAACGCAGTGCATTCCAGATCTTTCTTTTCTCCATGAACTTGAGATGAGAGCAGATGCAACGAAGGATTGAGAGAAAAACAGAGAATGTCTGAGAGTGACATCTTCAAACGTGTACCATCGGGAGTTTCCTGGTTCTTCATATGTATATTTGAATCAGTTTCCTTGGTGAGTTGGTGTGGTTTTCACTTATTTTCATTACAATATGGTTCAAAGTCTTGTTAAAAATGTGTTTCATAAATTAACCATTTATTTGGTGTAGTATAAATGATGAAAACAGACATGAAGAGTAAAATAGAGAAAAAAGGTAATTCCTGTGAAATGCCAACATTAACATGCTTTGTGTGTTAAATAAGGTAATTATACAAGCGATTGCATAGAATTTAAGTGGGATGCTTTTATTGTAAAAAAAAAAAAGATTGCCAAATAAGAAAAAAATCACACAAAGAAATTCAGTACACAGAGGCATATGAATATAATTTAATTGTTGTTTATTTAAAATTGTGTTAAACCGAATTAATGCATACATTGTAAAGTGCTAATTGTTCTTTTGGCCTTGTGTCTCCAGGGCCAGGTTTTTTTTCCCTCGTTTTTGTTCCGTGTGATGTTCTGTTGATTTTCAGTTGCTGAATGTGGTCTGCTTTGGATGTGAACCGAGAGAAGTGTGAAGCCTTCCTAGATTGTGAACTGTCTCAACTCTCTTTGGCGTGTGTAACGGTGGAGTTGGACTTGCGAGCCGCCCATTAACTGGATCCTTTGAACATTCCTGTTTTGAAAGAACACAGAAACTGAACTTATTCATCTTTGAATGGTAGGAGTGGGATTTCATATCACTTTTCCTTTTTCGGCATAGACTTTAGAGACTGCGGATTTCATCAATTCCTGGATTTCTGGACTGAATTTATGATCTGACTGGTTTTCTAAAGAATCATTCTGAGTGTTCAATATGAGCATTGGACTCTTGTTTAATTTTGAAGTGTTCAGAGTGAATGTGATTCTGTTTTTTTGGGCGTTTATTCTTTCTGAAATTTGGTTGAGGTTTTATTGATAAATGTTCAAAGTGTTGAATAACTGAACTAAGATCAAATTTAAGAACAAATCAGTTAAAGAAGGGAAATATCAACTTACCTTGACGGGTGATATAGCCATAAAGCCCTGTAAGGAAAGAAAGGGTACAAATCCTTACTACTGAATGCAAACTAAACTGGGGTCATTGTAAACCGGGTGTGAGATACAAAAATAGTTTTTTTTATTCTGAAGTCATTGTTGAAATATAATCTCTTTCTTGTTCTTACCTCAAACCTTGTCTGAGTCTGTTCACTGCTGCTGCATAATCTGTCTCCTCGGACGAACCGAATCTTTTGAGCTCACTGGTCCATTGTCAGAGTTTACCCAAAATTGGTATTGCGTGTAACGGGTTATAATTACATCGACCTAAATAACACGTTGCTGTTCCTACGTCTTAAAATCACCAGACTTAATGGGGGCGACATCCCAGACCCTGCAAAGGTAACCCTAATAAATTAATCCGGAGCTACTATATTTTCACAAGTCGACGTCAGTCTCGGTGATCGCTTGATATCTCAGAGCTCGAGCACTTACCCTTACCGATGCATCATCGAGAGTCTTATCAACTACAGCAAAGATGCTCTGGAATCGCTTTTCTCGGCCGGTCTGTTTTTCAAAGACACAGCGGGTCACATGGACGAAACCGACCCTGTGGGCCGTACCGTGGGGTTGACCAAGGGATCGCTCTACAATACCGAGAGCAAGGTTGTGGAGCTGCTGGCGCCTATTCACAGCGATATTTTCTTTCAAGAAAAATTTATGCTAAATGGCGTTGACATAAACATACGAATGATCAGAGGCGAAGACGAATTCTGCCTGATGAGCGACGACAAATATAACTATAATTTTGTCAAGAAAGTGTCCGTATCACCGTCCGTGAGACTGGTCCATGCCCAGGCATTGCTCTCAACTACGGCCAAGTACCCCATAGATAGGGTCTGCCTAAAAAAATTGTCCATACTTGCTGGATCCCGAGTATCAAATCAAGAAAATTTGTTTTTGGGGACGTTACCAAAATCTATTGTCCTGGCTATGGATCCTACGATAAAAACCTGTTCTCGTTCAAACATTACGATTTGGAGTTCCTGGCCATATACGTAGACGGACAGCAATTTCCCGCCAAGCCTCTCCAGCCAGACTTTTCCTCAGGATCTGCCGTATGAGAATTTTATCAGCTGGTGACCGCGACCGGGAGACATCTTAAAAATCAGGCGCTCTCTATCAACAGGGATGATTTTCTGAAAGGTTACTCGCTTTACACCTTTAACCTCACGCCTGACAAAGACTGCGGTCAGCACATATCGCTCATCAAGTCTGGGAATATCAGACTCAAAGCACGCTTCAGACAACCGTTACCGCATACTATTGATCTCATCGTTTACGCTGTGTTTGACAGCATCATCGAAGTGTCTACGCAGACAGGTCCTGGTCGATTACTACTGAACAGAAAATGAACACGGTGCAACTCATGGCTATCATGGACAAAATTGAGTGTAGCACTCATTTCTCGGCGTTCTTCCGAGCGATCACCTGCCTGAAAGACCGTTAAGGACCTTAAGTCCGCTTATTTAACGCGAGAGGGTTCCGCCTGTTTTTTCGATAGCTTCGGCAATGCTCCTGACTGCGAACGCTTTCCAACCACCATCAAAAACTTTTTAATATCCAACGCACCCATCGTGTTATATTCCACCAAACGGGTTAAGGATTTTACGTCGGATGCGTGCGGACAACACTGTGTGTTTTTCCTATTTCACCTAGCCAGGGGTCGAGACTATAACCACGTGATGAATTTGTACAGCGACGATTATATTAAAAATGATATAATGGTATCACTCTTTGTAAAAAGACTGAGATCTAATGTTTGTAAAGAAAAAATGTTGTTGTGTATTCATTGTGTGCAAACGTGTAATGCTTCTATGTCGCATGATTGAATTATCCGATGTATTTGTGTGATCATACACAAAAGATACAGCCTTTTATGTAAACATTTTCAAACACTAGGTATAGACATCATTTAAAGATCATGAAATGACATCGTTAAAATTCCAGCCATTGTCTTCAATCGAGAGTCAGCGATTTGAAGACAGGCTCATCCGTCCACAGAGCCATAGCTCGTGAAATTCTGTTTTTGACTGTCTTTTTAGAAGGTCCCGGCATGTGAGAGATCGATCCAGGCTTGCTTGTTAAAGCACTAATCATAAGTCTAACATGATGATTCGGTACGGTAGAAAACGTGATGTTTAATTCGGCAAACGATTGTAGAAACTCCGACCATCCTAGAGGTCTCCTGTCATCCTGGACCTGGTGCGGAGCTGTAACATTTTTTAACAAATCGAGCATGTGCGAACATGGTACGGCTTTACCTTTAAACACAAATTCACCCGACTCATTCCAAGCGAGTCAAGTCCTTTAGCTTTAGACATTTTGTCTAATATGTATTGACTGTTTTTCACGCTTCTCGACGGCACGTTCTTCAGAAATTTGTCTACGACGCCTTCCCAACCCTCGTCCAGTCGGGCGTGAGCAGTCGTAATGGCTGCTATAAACACGTTAATGTCGCGTGTCTGACGAACATCCCCTTTGGGGGAATGATGCTAGACAAGCACTATGTCGTCTGACACGAATGTGAAGTATTTCAGGGTAATGGTTTTACCAAAAACTGGTGAATTCTTCAGGGTCTTTCACGAGGATGGATTGTGCTAAATCCTCCCTCATAGAGAATCTCCCCCATAAACTATTGAGAAATAGCTTGTTTATAGACCTCTGAGCGGGGTTGTGGCTGATCTTTTCGGGGTCGAGATGAATACCCTCTTTTTCATAATATTCGCGGATGTAAGACGCTTTGTTGGCATCTGTGATCATGTTTGACGGCTAGCCAGACACTTGCTGTTTCAAACGCAGAAACAACATATCCGTCCTTTGCGGGAAATGCCAAACTTCATCGACCTTGGGCACAACGTAGCCCTTCTCGTTTGCTTTTAAAAGCTCGATACTGACCCAACACCCCGAGAGAGCTCTCTCCTCGTCCTTGTGGTTACAGTTTGACGTCTGGTTTTTGGTGTGCGCACAGGTCTGGCATAAAGGGAACATGAGTTTTCCTCTGTAAGGCAGGGCCGGGTGAAGTAATTTGCGCGGGGGGTAGATGGTGGCCTTGATTAGACCGTAATAATTTTCAATCGGTTTATAAATATGTTTCATTATAAATGATTTGGGGGTGACCGATCGAATAGCTTTTCCTAGCTTGACAGTAGGGGTATAAGCTGGTAAAATCAACGCAACTTATTTTCTCCCCTTCGGTCTTTTTGTGATTGAGTTTATATACTTTAGTTCTTCCGCACCAATCAGGGAATCTAAGCGGATAGCTTGGGAATTTCTAGCATTCAGCATTATACCCTTAGCCTTCATGCACACTTTTCCTTTGGCCGTGCAATAGCCATAAGAGTTTGGGCCACTGTAAAATGTAGAACTCTGTGATGTAATTGTCGCCCCCTATTTCCTCCGTCAGCTCCCCCAAATGATCCCCCCGAGGAGGCATCCAGTCGCCGTCCCTAGACACAAAAATGACGCTGTCGGTGTCCGAGTATAATACTCGGTCGCTGAGTTTGTCCATCAGATCGTACAGCTCCAGTCAGGCGTGAGCATTCGTAATGGCTCCTATAAACATGTTAATGTCGCGTGTCTGACGAACATCCCCTTTGGGGGAATGATGCTGGACAAGCGCTACGTCGTCTGACACAAATGTGAAGTATTTCAGGGTAACGGTTTTACCAAAAACTGGTGAATTCTTCAGGGTCTTTCACGAGGGTGGATTGTGCTAAATCCTCCCTCATAGAGAATCTCCCCATAAACTATTGAGCAATAGCTTGTTTATAGACCTCTGAGCGGGGTTGTGGCTGATCTTTTCGGGGTCGAGACGAATACCCTCTTTTTCATAATATTCGCGGATGTAAGACGCTTTGTCGGCATCTGTGATCACGTTTGACGGATAGCCAGACACTTGCGGTTTCAAACGCGGAAACAACATATCTGTCCTTTGCGGGAAATGTCAAACTTCATCGACCTTGGGCACAACGTTGCCCTTCTCGTTCGCTTTTAAAAGCTCGATACTGACCCAAGAGAGCTCTCTCCTCATCCTTGTGGTTACAGTTTGACGTCTGGTTTTCGTGTGCACGCAGGTCTGGCATAAAGGGAACATGAGTTTTCCTCTGTAAGGCAGGGCCGGGTGGAGTAATTTGCACGGGGGGATAGATGGTGGCCTTGATTAGACTGTAATAATTTTCAATCGGTTCATAAATATGTTTTATTACAAATGATTTGGGGGTGACCGATCGAATAGCTTTTCCTAGTTTGACAGTAGGGGTATAAGCTGGTAAAATCAACGCAACTTATTTTCTCCCCTTCGGTCTTTTTGTGATTGAGTTTATATACTTTAGTTCTTCCGCAAAAAGTGCGTCTCTCGGCTTCAGTTTCTCGGAAGCCGAATAAGTACTCATGAACTCCATCACAGAGGGGTCGGTCTGTTTCATTTTGTTCCATTCACACTCCCACTGGACCTCTATTTTCAAGGCGTACGCGTTTTGCAGAATTTCGACCTTGTCAAGTCCTTTAGCTTTAGACATTTTGTCTAATATGTATCGATTGTTTTTCACGCTTCTCGACGGCACGTTCTTCAGAAATTCGTCTACGACGCCTTCCAAACCCTCGTCAGCTTCGGCGGTAGTAGCGGCGCGAACGTCTTTATGACCGGGATCAGGATTTGGTAATGAGAGCTTTAAAACATGGCTCTCACGTTCGCCTTGTTTAACGATCGTCAAAAACCTTGCTAGGATGTTTGAGTAAAGTTTAGCCTTTTCACGTTCATCTAAATCGGTCCTGTGTAAAATATTTCTTATGGCCGTATCCAGATTGTTCTCTACGACCTGTTGAATGTTCTCATGAGTGCTTCCGGATTTCAAAATCTCCAGTTGGTTCTGGGGAACGAGATACACCTTCTCGGCATATTCCATGCTCAACCTTGTCTAGACGATATTAAACTGGAAATAAAGGGTACCGATACGCTTAGGAGTGGTAAAAGAAAGCCGCCGTTCTGGTTGAAAACTCGTTTCTTGGCGGTTATACCGATTTTCTTATTGGCGAGAAATTTTATTTCCGATTTTCTCCTTTTCAGTTGTTGGTACTGCTGTCGGTTGATCGGAAATGTACCATAAAGGATGTTTAGTGCTACTTCGCAGAGTGCTAAAATGAGTTCGTCGGACGACGACTGTAAAATAAGAC